GCACTAGAAAATTCAAAGCTAATAGCCGACTGGCTTATTTGTCAACAGATAGAGTACAAACATTAAATGTGTGCAACACTTTCCACTATTTACTACAAAATAGTGTTAATTAAACAATAGAAAACAATAGAATTAGCAGTATTTAGTGGTATTTATGTTGCACAGTTTTAGTGTTTGTACTCTACTTTTGCACAAAGCTAAGACCCTACCGAATACAAAAGAAAGCACGAGAAAATTATGGGAATGTAGAGTTTTGGAAAAAAATGCAAATTTTGGATGAAATTGTAATAACAACATTTTCTCGTGCCCTCTTCTATGCTTGGCAATGACATTGAGCAAGAGCATCTGTCGACAAATAAAAAAAAGCTTTGAATTCAAAAATGGAGTATCATACATCGCCAGAGAGTTTCTGGCACTCTTGAAATTCCCTTAGAAATTGGAACATGAAGTGTCAGGCGACAAAAGCTCTTAATAGAATCTCCGCAAGTCGTGTGGCTTGCACGTGCAGTAAACATAAAAAGCTGCGTATTTTTTTAAGCCTTTAGGCCGAACGTTTATATGTATCTGGGTCGAATCTGCCTTGTTTTGAAGAAGAAAGGGTGAAAGATCTAAACGGCTATCGTGTTGCTATAAACGTTTCCACATAATTCAAACCACCCGGGAGCGGAGCAAGATTCATTGTTCATTGTGTTTTCATTTCACAGTTGAATTCTTAGAAACAAAACTTCTTTTTACCACAGAATTTGAATTGGGGAGGGGGGGAGGGGGGTAGTACATAGCAACGCATTCGCCGATTAGGTCTAATGCTCACTAGTAAACGCACATACGAGCACGCGACAAAAAAACATCTGAATACATGTTAAGGCATCCAAGAAAAGTTATTCAAGAAAAACTCTTTAAGAGAGTATTTATTTTATGAGGCATATTTTATTTTGGTCGAATTAAAAGAATTATGTAGCATAGTTACAGTAGCAGCCTTGTTGATATTTAAGGGAAAAAATCCAATGCATGCTAGTGGGTGCTAAGGAAACCAACGACTTTGATCGAACGAAAGCACGTGTGCACGTTGTTTTCCATCAAGATAATTTTTGTTTAAACTTAAAACGTGTGATTATATTCGATTCGAATATGGCACAGAAAAAAGGTTAAAATAAACATTATAATTGCA